AAAATATACAAAAAGGAGAAACAAAACTATATCTGTAAAGTTAGGTTAAGGATAATATATTCAACAAAATATATCCACCACAAAGAACTACATCTGAAAAATTAGGTTAAAAGTCAAGAATAAGAACAATTATATCAAACATAATAAATACACTAAGATCAAATGAGGTTAGGTTTAAGGGTGAAATGTATGAGATAATGTAAGCTAAGTATGTATTGGGTGGGGGAGGATAGGTAGGTAAGGGTAGATAAGTTGTGATTTGTTATATAAGCTAGTAAGTTATGTATGGTGGTTAGGTCAGGATGGGTAAGTTAGATCATATAGGGAGGAATAGGTAAGTTGGACTGGGTAAGTTAGGTTGGGTTATGTTAGTTTGGGTAAGTTAAGTTAGGTTAGGTTAGGTAAGTTAAGTTAGGTTAGGTTAGGATACGTTAGGTTATGTAAGTTACATTTAGTTAGGTTAGGTTATGTAAGGTAAGTTAGGTTAGATTAGGTTAGGTTAGGTTAGGTAAGTTGCATTAAGCTGGGTTAGTAAGGTTAAGTTAGGTTATTTAAGTTGAGTTAGGTAAGTTACATTAGGTAAGTTGCGTTAAGTTAATAAGGTTAGGATAGGTTAGGTTATTTTATTCAAGTCAGGGTTAGGTTAGGTTATATAAGTTATGTTAGGTAAGTTAGGTTAGCTAAGTTAGGTCAGGTTTTGCAAGTTAAGTTAGGCTAAGTAAGTTACATTAAGTTAGGTTAGGTTAGGTAAGTTACTTTAAGTTAGTAAACTAGGTTAGGTTAGGCTAGGTAAATTAAGTTATGTTAGGTTAGGCTAGGTAATTTAAGTTGGGTTAAGTTAGGTTATGTTATGTAAGTTAGGTTAGGTTAGATAAGTTAAGTTAGGTTAGGTTAGGTAAGTTATGATTAATTAGGATATGTTGGGTTAGGTTATGTAAATTTAGCAAGGTTTGTTTAGGTTAGATAAGTTGTACAGGTAATGAACAGCACAGGCTAGTACACGTAAGATAGGTTAGGTAGGGTTATGCAATGATGTTCAGAGAACAGTTTGAAGATAAAGTGCCTAAGAAAATATATTTTAACAGAAGTGTAAATTTGATATGAAAAGCTGAACTAGAAGGGGGAGTTGGGAAAGTTTTTTAATGCCTGAAGATGTCTGAGAGAACAACATTCATGGATGAAGAAGAGTTTCTTTGATGAACGAAGGTGAGTTAGAAAGTTTCTTTGATTTTTTTTTTGTACGGATATTCCTGTGCGGGCCCTAAGCCTCTGACTGGCCCACTAAGTGTTGCTTGTTTCTGTTTTACTTGGGCGGAGTATGAGTATTTATGACTCGTATGGTCGCCTCAGTAAGATTTCACCATATGTGATTAACAACTTCTTCTGCTCTGTTGAATCTAAGTTGAAATCTTAATGGGTTTGTAACTGTGCACTGTGTTAGATAATGTTCCAGTGGTCTCTCGGGCATTTCTCCACTGTGCTGATATTTCCTTTCATCTTCCGGAACCTGTAAGCCCATTTCTCATGCACATGGGTATTAGTTAGAGAATAACTTTGATGAACGAAGGTGAGTTAAAGATTACCTTTGATGACTCTGAGATTAACCTTGATGTCTTAGAGATCAACTTTGATTACTGAGATTAACTTTTTGATTGCTCTGAGAATAACTTTTCAGGACATGAGTAGTATTTTGACGTCTTTGAGTGTGCCTTTGATGTCTTTGAGTGTGCCTTTGATGTTTTTGTGTGTGTCTTTGATGTCTCAAAGAGTGTCTTTGACTATTTTTCTTACTCCATGATGTATACTGTTAGTTTCAGAAGTGTTGAACGAAGTTACATTTGACTAGTTTTAGTTAGGAGGTAAAAAAATTTGAGTTCAGAGCAGCGATGAAAGATATCTTTGGCTATTTTTTTCTTACTTGACAAAACATAAGGGCTGTTAAGAAAGTGTTGAAAGAAGTTAATCTTGACTATGTTTAGTTGATTGGAGAATATTTTAGTTAGGAAATGACCAGAAAACATGATGAACATGGCTATTTTCAGTTGATTGAAGAATACTTTTAGTTACAAAATGAAGAACATGACTATTTTTAGTTGATTGGCAAATAAGTTTACTTTCATCAAAAATGATGAAAGTGACTATTTTTTCAGTTTATTGCCGAATGATTTTAGTTAAGGAACGTTAAGAAAAGAATGTCTTGGTACATTTGATTTTAAAGAACATGTAAGAGAATGCGGTGAATACAGTGAACATATGGGGAATATGCCAAAGAACACAGAAAACATGTAAGAGAAGGGGGATGAACTTGTGAAGCACCTATTAAGAACATTGAGAACATGACAAAGAACTCAGAAAACATGTAAGAAAAGCTGATGAACACACTGAACATGCGGGGAATATGAACTTGCAGAGAACATGAAAACATGACAAAGAACATAAAATATGAAGAATGAACAATGAATTTGTGAAGAATATGGAAGAACATGGTGAATATGACAAAGAGAACATGGAAGAGAATGCGAAGAACGAATTGAACTTGTGGGGAACATGAATATTGAGCATGAAAAGTTGTATAGAGAACATGAGATGAACATGGAAACATGACAAAGAATACAGTGAACATGAAAGAGAGATTAATTTAAAAAATATGAACTGAGTGCACAGAAAACATGAATAGTGAGTATAAAAGTTGAACAGAGACCATTCGATGAACATTTGTAGAACAGAGTGATCACAGAAAACATGTTAAAGAATGTGAAGAACACAAAGAATATAGAAAAATATACAAGTACAGTAGTGTTATTGAAGCTTTGGATAAATTGGGGAATGGGCGAGAAGGAGGAGGAGTAGGGGGGTGAGGGCGAGATGAAGGGAGGACGTAAGGGATGGGAAGGTAAAGGGGAAGAAAAGGCGTGTGGGGAGATAATGGCGAGAGGGAGTTGGGGAAGGTAAGGGATAGGAAGGTAAAGGGGAGGAAGGTAAGAATGTATGGGGAGATTAAGGCGAAAGGGCATTGGGGAAGGTAAGGGAGGGGGGGGGGGGAAGGTAAGAGGTGGGGAGGTAATGGATGAGAAGGTAAGTTCAAGTTCAAGTATGTTTATTGAGATAAGCAAGAAATACATCTCAAAGGGATAGAGTAGCTTAGGCTATTTCTACCCCCTAAGGTAAGGGGGAAAGGTAGAGGGTGTGGGGAGATAAGGGCAAAATGGAGTTGGGGAAGGTAAAAGATAGGGAAGGTAAGGAGTGGGGGGAGGTAAGGGATGGGAATGTAAGGGAGAGAAAAGGTGAGGTATAATTTGTCTCTGTGATTATTACATAGCTGAGTAAACAAAGGTTATTGAAGGTCAGGTGCGATATGACCGGGTGATTTTGTTACCGTGTGAATATTAGCTCGTTAGTAATTAGTTACATAGCTGAGTGATAAAAGGGTATCAAAGGACAGGATGTTTACTTTGATAAGGTGAAAGACTGAAGCGCATCTTGATCTGATTTAATTTTGTTGAACATTGAACTAAAAAGGAGGACAAGAGGTGGAGTTTGGCAATTTGCTTTTGATTTATGTACCAGGGATCTAAAATGTAGTTGTGTTTTAAAATCTCAAGAGATTTGGGCTGATAATAAGGAACTTGTACAAATGAACTAAGGCAAGGCATGGGAGCTAGAACTCTGTAATTGCTTTGATCTTATTTACTGTCTGAAAATCAGCTGTTTTAAAATTTAAGGGAAATTGATTGGGTATTGACAGAGTTGTAACAGTTAAGTAAGGCCGGGAACATGATCTAGAATGCCAAAAGTGTTTGGGTTAATTTTGCTACATACGAAATATAGTAGTCTTAAATTTCGGTGGGATTGGACGGTTAGTAAAGAAGTTAGGAGGGTAAAATAAGGTGGGATCAGGAGCTAGAACTTGTTTACTGGCTCGATCTGATTTACTACGTACGAAATATGACTGTTTAAAATTTGGCTAAAATTGGGATATTAGTAGCGAAACTACACTTATAAACTTAAAGAGCTGGGTACAAGAGCTAATCTGATGAACTCTTAAAAAAATTCTGTTCATTAATTATATTCATATGAACTCTTAAGAACTCAGGAAAGATTAAAACTCTGAGTAATTTCTGTCTTCAACAGGACTCTGACTAAGTTTTGGTCTTTAACTGGTCTCTGACAAATTTTAGATCTTAAATGGACTCTGTCATATATCTGGTCTTTTACTGGACTCTGTTAAATTTCGGTCTTATAGCTAAACTCTGATTAATTTGGCTTGTTTACTGGACTCTGACGAATTTTTTGGGCTTACAGCTGAACTCTTGTCTTATTTTTGTCTACAACTGGACTCTGTTTAATTTAGGTCTACAAATGGTCTCTGAAATTATTTCGGTCTTTTACCAGACTCTTGTATTTTTTCGGTCTCAGAGTAGACTCGCTAATTTTTCGTCTTTAATTGGTCTCTGGCAAATTTCGGTCTTTTACTGGACTCTGATGAAAATTGATCTGAAAATGGTCTCTGATTAAATTTGGACATAAAGTGGTATCTGGTGAAAATTGGTCTGAAAATGATCTCTATTAAATTCCAGTCAATTTCGGTCTTCAAATGGTCTCTGAATAATTTTTGGTCTTTTTACAGGTGAAATAGCTGTAAATACATATAAAAACTATGGTCGGGGCATCGTGTAGTGGGCGGGCGAGTGGTTGGGGTGTCGAGTAGCAGGCGGGCGAGAGCGGTCAGGGGCATCGTGTAGTGGGTGGGGAAGAATGGTCGGAGTGTTGTGTAGAGTAGTCGAGGCGTTGTGTAGCAGGGGGGCGAGAGAGGTCAGGGAGTCATGTAGTGGGGGGGCGAGAGTGGTCGGGACGTCGTGAAACGGGCGGAGGAGAGTGGTCAGGACGTCGTGTAGTGGGCGGGCGAGAGTGGTCAAGGCGTCATGTAGTGGGCGGGCGAGAATGGTCGGGGCGTCGTTTAGAGGGCGGCGAGAGTGGTTGGGACGACGGGCGGATGAGAGTTATCGGGGCGATGGGTGGACGAGAGTTATCGGGGCATCGTGTAGTGGGCAGGCGAGAGTGGTCGGGGCAATGAGCGGGCGAGTGGTCAGGGCGTCGTGTAGTGGGCGGGCGAGAGTGGTTGGGATGTCGTGAAATGGGCGGGCGAGAGTGGTTGGGGCGTCATGTAGCGGGCGGGCAAGAGTGGTCAGGGTGTTGTGTAGCGGGCGGGCAAGAGTGGTCAGGGTGTTGTGTAGCGGGCGGGCGAGAGTGGTCGGTACGTTGTGAAATGGCCGGGGAAGAGTGGTCGGGGCGTCGTGTAGTGGGCGGTCAAGAGTAGTCGGGGTGTCGTGTAGCGGGCGGTGAGAGTGGTCAGGACGTTGTGTAGTTGGCAGACCAGAGTGTAGTGGGCGGGCGAGAGTGGGCGGGGCGTCGTGCAGCGGGTTGGGGAGAGTGGTTGGGGCATCGTGTAGCGGGCAAACGAGAGTGGTCAGGGCGTCGTGTAGTGGGCGGGCGAGAGTGGTCAGGGCGTCGTGAAGCGGGCAGGCAAGAGTGGTCGGGGCGTCGTGTAGTAGGCGGGCGAGAGTGGTCGGGGCGTCGTGTAGTAGGCGGGCGAGAGCGGTCGGGAAGTCGTGTAGCGGGCGGGCGAGAACGGTCGGGAAGTCGTGTAGCGGGCGGGGGAGAGTGGTCAGGGCGTCGATTAGCGGTCGAGCGAGAGTTGTCGGGGCGTAGTGTAACAGGTGGGTGAGAGTGGTCGGGGCATCGGGCGGGTGAGAGTAATCTGTTCATCGTGTAGTAGGCGGGCGAGAGTGGTCGGGGAGTCATGTAGCGGGCCGGGGAGAGTGGTCAGGGCGTCGTGTAATGAGCGGGCGAGAGTGGTCGGAGTGTCGGGCGGGCGAGAGTGGTCGGAGCGTCGGGCGGGCGAGAGTAGTCTGGGCGTCGTGTAGCAGACGGGAGAGAGTGGTCAGGGTGTCGTGTAGCGAGTGGGGGAGAGTAGTCGGGGCTTCGGGCTATCTTGAGGTTATCTTGAGATGATTTCGGGGCTTTAGTGTCCCCGCGGCCCGGTCCTCGACCAGGCCTCCACCCCTAGGAAGCAGCCCGTGACAGCTGACTAACTCCCAGGTACCTATTTACTGCTAGGTAACAGGGGCATTTAGGGTGAAAGAAACTTTTGCCCATTTGTTTCTGCCTCGTGCGGGAATCGAACCCGCGCCACAGAATTACGAGACCTGCGCGCTATCCACCAGGCTACGAGGCCCCTGCGAGGGCTGGTGAGAGTTGTTGGGGGATCGTGTAGTGGGCGGGCGAGAGTGGTCAGGACGTCGTGGAACGGGCGGGCCAGAATGGTTGGGGGCGTCGTGGAGTGGGCGGGCGAGAGTGGTCTGGGGGAGGGTCGTAGAGTGGGCGGGCGAGAGTAGTCGGGGGGAGGGTCGTAGAGTGGGCGGGCGAGAGCGGTCGGTGCATCGTGTAGCGGGTGGGCGAGAGTGGTCGGGGTGTCGTTGAGTGGGTAGGTGAGAGTGGTCGGGGCGTCGTAGAGCGGGCGGGCGAGAGTGGTCGGGGCGTCGTAGAGCGGGCGGGCGAGAGTGGTCGGGGCGTCGTAGAGTGGGCGGGTGAGAGTGGTCGGGGCGTCGTAGAGCGGGCGGGCGAGAGTGGTCGGGGCGTCGTAGAGTGGGCGGGTGAGAGTGGTCGGGGTGTCGTTGAGTGGGCGGGTGAGAGTGGTCGGGGCGTCGTAGAGTGGGCGGGTGAGAGTGGTCGGGGTGTCGTTGAGTGGGTAGGTGAGAGTGGTCGGGGCGTCGTAGAGCGGGCGGGCGAGAGTGGTCGGGGGTGTCGTGGAATGGCAAAAGTCGTTGAGTTCTGACAGTTAGCGCGGGAAGGCGAGATGGGACCTCGTAAGGAAAATGTGCCAAGGGAGTTAGAATACGCAGGAGTTGATAAAATATGTGTAATAAGGGAGAGTGGCAGAGGCGAGTCATTGAGGTTCAGCCACGGAGTGAGAGATAAGATATGGACATGGACCGTGAGCTCACGTAAAACACAACACCATTGACAATGTGCCGGCAAGCAACACCACTCCATGTAAATGCCTTGCTTGTAGCAGGTCAGCGTTCAAGCCTCGCCCGTCAAATACCCTTCCTTGTGTGGGAAAATCCTAGCAGGCATTTATTTACTTTTATTCTATTTTTTGTTAATTACAATATTATTATGATGATGATGCCAGTGGAGTGTATATTTTGATTCAGCCTGCCAGAACATATCTACACATAGTTGGAGGGACAATTGTATCTTATACCACAATGAATAGATACAATATAAACTACAAATTGTTTACCTTATTTCTAATATAAATTATGCCACATACGGTGGCCTAATCTACTAATATTATGAGTAATACTACTCTATCTACATTATTAAAAGATTTAAAGCCTTAGCTGAGTGGTTGATATAGCCTGAATAGGCTGGATATGTTGTTCAACATCAGATTAGAGTGTGGCCCATGTGCCTCAGAGTGCCACATAATGGCGCCTAGCTCTGTGGCCTCTCTGGACAGCCAAGGTAGCAATAATCTTCACTGTTAATGTGGGCCATCTCAGCTTGTAACTCCAGATCACTTATTACCTGTAAAAAGTTGTTAAGGTTGTAAGAATTGCTCATTTACATATAAAGCACAGGTGTGACATGGAATATTGTGTATGTGTAGTGCTGAGTAAATTTACTTATTTGGGGTTTTAATCCCACAGTATGACCGCCTTACCTAAGACATTTAATGACCAAAACATGAAATAGATATTTGGTAAGACGGATACCCAGGTATTCCCGTTGTGGTAGAGGAGTTGTGGCAATTGTGGTTGGTTGACATGTAATTTGTGTGTGTATGATGAGTGGTGATTGCTAAGGGAGGCCTCGTTGTTTCGCGTGGTCTGTTCACAAGTTGCTGTGTGTACGTGACCAGCTGCCTTCCTCCTCTGTTTCAATGTTTTGTTCCAATAACATTCACTCAATATTCCGAGTTTAATTTAAGGATATAGGGAAGCAAGCAGTATTTTTTGATGTATTTAATTATATTCAGTCCCAGTGAATACTATTTTATTAAGTTTAAACAATATATTAAAGTTTAAGGTAGATGAGAGTTTAATATATATACACACACACACATGTTGTTGATGACGTCACGAAATCCAATTCTCTCTTTTAACGGGGTAACTATAGTATGTTAACGTGTGTGTCGGATTTCCGACACCTTGATCCTTTCCTAAATCATTATCCTCATATCCCTTCCAAGTGCTGTATAGTCGCAGTGGTTTAGTGCTTTCTCCTGATAATTACCTTACCTTAACTTGTATCGCACCTTTTTACTGGAACTCTCTCTCTTCATTCAGACATGGTTAAGTTATGTTGTTGCCTGTCAGCAACCGGCATCCGGCCTCATAGCGCTATTCAGCTTTGCCATCCTTTAAATAACGATTTCCACCTCTCATTCACCCAGCTGCATAACCAGGTGCTGCCGGCCAAGCCGTAGGTCAGGAAGCACAAAAGTTTCGCTCATCTTCAGCTCAGCAGACATTCATGATAGCAACTTGCGAATACTCCCTTGCACATCTACTGTGATGTGTCCTGGATGTGATTTATCTCCCTCACGTACACTGCGTGAGTCCATCCACTGTCCATCATAATACAGTGCGAGGATTCACACATACACTGGCCACGCAAGAGAGCCGTCAACCTTGCTCCAGTCTGGTGCTTCAACCGTGTTATTGTCATCTTGAACCTGCTAAGTGCAACAACTGTGTTGACGAATTCTAGGTTCTTCTAGGAATTCCATTTTTATTGTGTCATCAGCCGCTCTCTGGGGTGAAGCTGTTATTGCATCGGTGTTCTCCGGGTTCTGCTGGTCCTCTTTTGTGTTATGACTGTTTTTTGGTGCAGCTGTTTTGATGCTGTCAAGGGTCCTGATAGGTGTTGCATTTGGGTTGTGCTCTAAGTGTACTACAAAGTGTTGATGTTTCGTGCAATTGCTAGGTGCTGGTTCTATGTTATTGCTGGCTCCTGCTAGGTGCTCGTTCTTTACTGGTGTGGTCAGTCTTTGATTGATGTTGAAAATGTGTTGATATTGTATTGGTGTTGTCAGTCCCTGCTTGGTGCTAGAGCTGTGTTGGTGTTGTCAGTCCCTGCTTGGTGCTAGAGGTGTGTTGGTGTTGTCAGTCCCTGCTTGGTGCTAGAGGTGTGTTGGTGTTGTCAGTCCCTGCTTGGTGCTAGAGGTGTGTTGGTGTTGTCAGTCCCTGCTTGGTGCTAGAGGTGTGTTGGTGTTGTCAGTCCCTGTTTGGTGCTAGAGGTGTGTTGGTGTTGTCAGTCCCTGCTTGGTGCTAGAGGTGTGTTGGTGTTGTCAGTCCCTGCTTGGTGAGGCAGCTGTATTGGTGTTAATGTTGGTGTTTTCAAGGCCTTGCTTGATACTGGTACTGTGTTTTTGTCGGTCCTTTGCTCGGTTTGGCTCAACCTTCTTTCATTTTTTTTGTCAATATTACAATCTCTCGATATTTTCCTTCAAACGCTTTCAGCCCATTTTAATTACATGCATTAGTTTCCCTTTTAAATATTGAATAAAACAAATTCATTCGCTTGAGCTGCGTGGAGATCGTGCTCTTACCCCCGCATGTTAACTTTTATCATATCTATTAGAGATGATAGAGCAGATGTGAGGCGGTGAAAGAAGACGAAGTTAAAAATAGGGTGAGAAATTTGAAGGGAAGGTAGTAGGTATGTGTGAAGGGTTGATGGATAGGTAGGGTTGTGGAGGAGAAGTGACTGGAGTGTTTACGTAAAGGAAAAGGGGCAAAGGGGGGAGAGAAGAGAATTAAATGTGATGATCACTTAAACAAAATGGGATACAATGGAAAGAGCAACATAAGTAGGAGTGGGGAGAAGAGTGAGGCAGCAGTAGAGCAACTGAAAAAATATCTAACACAATGCTAGGTTACAAACCAAATAAGATTCCAACTAAGCTTCAACAGAGCAGAAGAAATTGTTAAACACATTAGGCATGATCTTACTGAAGTAAACATACGAGTTATAAATACTCATACTCCGCCTCAGTAAGACAGAAACATGAAAGAACTAACACTTAGTGGGCCAATCAGAGGCTTATGGATCATCCCTGCATAAAAAAAAAGCAGGAGAGAGGCATTTAGAAGAAAAATATTTGATGATTAAAGCCAGGCTTGTAGTATGAGAGCCGAAAAGATACATGTGTGCTTTTTCTATGTGTACTGACTCAGGAGTAACTAGGTCCTTTATGTTCTGTAAGTTCTCATCACACAAAGCAAAATAAATAATTGAACAAGCAACCAGTCATTGCATTTGAGTCAGTTAACTTAACACAATGAAAATGTACGGGCAACAATTCCATTCGTCTCATAACATAATATGTTAACTGAAACTCTAAGTGACTTCCGAAGTCAACACAACGTGCCATTAAAGTAGAAAGAGTTCTTTTAATTATTATTATAAGATGTTCACAAGAGAATTTACTTTCCTCCTTTACATGGTGGTAAAGGAAGAAAGTGGTAATAGGAGGCGCGTTACGCTAAGGAGAGAACCCGTAAAAATTAGCTAGAACGTTAATGACCGGATATTAAGTTGGTTCGTTAAGTGTGTAGCACACACGCCAAAGTTACGACACAAACGACAAGTTTTGATGAAGACTGTAAAGCGAAGGGAAGTTTCTCTATGAGGAGCGTTCGGTATGCCATAGTTGAGGCAGTTGTCAGGTGTTGTGTGGTGCTTGCGGTGTTGTGGTTCTGAACTACAGGTATTGTGTTCGTGGTGCTTAGCTATAGGTGTTGTGTGGTGTTTGTAGTAGTAAACTTGAGATGTTTGTGTTGTAAGCCTGAGGAGTTGCATGGTATTTGTTGCAGTAAGCTTCAGGTGTTGAGTGATGTACACGAAAGTTGGTTGAAGATGTGTGTGTTTTATTTCTTATTTTTATTTTTTAACTGAAGGTAAGTCTCACCTATTGTCGAACACCGACTGACAGTATAGCTCCCTTGTGGACTGTATCTAGCTGAGAGTAAGATTAACATATTCTCTCTATTTTCTCTAGAGATAGAGAGAGAGAGAGAGAGAGAGAGAGAGAGAGAGAGAGAGAGAGAGAGAGAGAGAGAGAGAGAGAGAGAGAGAGAGAGAGAGAGAGAGAGAGAGAGAGAGAGAGAGAGAGAGAAGTTGGTTATTCACTTCAAAGTTTCTCTTCTACAGTATAAGTTTGTGATGATGGCCAAAGATCACTACGGTAAGGATCAGTGTGGGTGTGTTTGGGTGGGTGTGAGTGTCCTTATACTTTACTTGCATATACCTTTTTGTGACAGAGATAAGGGGAACAGGTTAAGGGTTTGCTATCCGGGAGCAGGGATTGGTGACATTATTAACAACTCGAATGATATTGTGGCTGGAAATTGGGAACAAACCCATTATTTGTATCAGTGCAGGTGGAAATGATGTTGGACGAGTTAGGAGTGAAGCACCGATACAGAAGTTGAAGACAGCCATAGAATTAGTTAGGAGCAAGGGAGGAATCCCGATCATACGTGGCATTCTTCCAAGAAATGGGAAATAGAAATGAATGGTTGTTTAGGGCACTTGGTGTCAATTCCCGACTGGGCAAATATTGCAAATCAAATGTAATTTCATTCATAGATAACTGGGAACACTTCTATGAAAGAAATGACATGTATGCTCGGGATGGGGTTCCTCTATCTAGGGCTGGGATTGTTGCTGTTGCAAACTCATTGGAACCTGTGGATGGAGGAGTTTGCTTGGATATAAACTGTTAATAGATAGTGGTATGGGAATTGACATATAGAAAGGAGGTAATAAAAGTATGTGTTTGGGGGAAAACAAGTTGACAAAATGAACAGGGAAAGAGAAGGGCCTCAAAATAACGATACACTTAGTGTATATTACAGAAACAGTAAGAGTCTAAGAAACAAAATAAACGATTTAAATGCTCTTGTCTGCACACAAAAAGTTGATATTATTGCACTTACTGATACGTGGATGAATGTAGAAAATAGTGAACTATTAGCTGAATATCAAATAAATGGATTTTAACTATTTCACACAGAAAAACATATTATATGAGGAGGGGAGTTGCCATATATGTTAGGGAAAATTTGAATTGTAGTCTCAAAGAGGGAAATCAAAACTGAGCCACACACAAAAACTGTTTGGTTAGAATTAAACGAAAAACCTAAAAATCTTATAATAGGAGTTATATACAGGCCACCAAACTGAAACAGAATTGAAGCAAAGTATCTATGGGATGAAATATCTAGAACATCTAGGTCTAACAGTATTTGTGTCATGTGTGACTTTAATTTTAGTGGAATAAACTGGTTTAACTGAACAGGGAATAATGGAGCAGAAGATTTTCTAGAAATAATTGACGATAGCGTTTTTTACGCAATACGTTAAGGAACCAACGCGGGAAAATAATATTTTAGATTTCGTGTTAACTAAAAGGGAAACACAAATTAATGACATCGTAATAGGGAGTGAACTAGGGAACAGTGATTACAAAGAAATCAGATTTAGTAAAGAATGGAATAGGTTTGTAAGGGAAAATTCTGTTAGAATGCCAGATTTTCGAAAACTTATTTAATAGCCTAAAAAAATTGGGCTGAAATAAATTGGAAAGTCTTGCGCATGGTGGGTGGGCGCCGGTCTTGGAGCAAGACATGAACCCAGCGATGGGTTCAGTAAAAAGTGATTTTGATGTGGATTCGAAATATAATCTATTTAAAAATATTCTAAGCAAAGCACAGGAACGTAGTATGCCATACAAATTGAATAGATCGATTATAAAGACCCGAAATGGATAATAAAGCTTCTAAAGAACCTTATAGGTAGAAAGAGAGCTTGGTACATAAGGATTAAGAATGGGAAAGTCAGTTTAGAACAGGAATTCGTACAACTGGTTAGAAATGTCAAAAAAAGAGATAAAGAGGGCAAAAAGAAACTATGAAGTTCGCACAGCAGGGCAAGCAAAGACAAATCCTAAAGTTTTTTTTCAGTTGTGTCAAACAAAGATTATAGAACGGATAGTTCTATTAAAAACTGAGACAGGTCAGATAACGGATAATGACGAAGAGATTAGTAGTATTTTTAATAAATATTTTATCTCTGTATTTAATAAAGAGGAACTTAACACTATGCCTTCAGTCAAAC